TGTGTGTGTGTGTGTGTGTGTGTGTGTGTGTGTGTGTTTTGAGACACAGTCTCACTATGCAGTTCAGGCTGGCGTTGAGCTCACCATGCAGCCCAGGCTGATCTTGAACTCATGACAATCCTCCTGCCTCAGCCTTCTTGATCCTGGCACTACAGGCATGAGCCAACACAGCCACTTCCTTTTTTCCTTCTTTCTCTTCTTCCCCTTCTCCCTCCCCCTCCTCCTCTACCTCTCTCTCCCCCTCCCTCTCTTTCTCCTCCATTTTTTCTAAAGCCTCACTGAGGCTGGAACCCAGGGCCTCATGCATGCTAGGCAAGTGCTCTGCAACTGAGTTACACCCCTAGTCCTTTTTATTTTACTTATGTTTTCAGTACTTGCGATTGAACCCATGGCCCTTGCACGAAGGTACATAGTGAATTCGAGCCCAGACCCTGCCTCAAACATAAATAAATAAATAAATTTTTAAAAGAAATGTTTATTTTGGTTTTTTTTTTTTTGGTACCGGGGATCGAACTTGGGTCCTTGAGCTTGCACAGCAGGTGGTGGGACCACTGAGCTAAATCCCCAGCCCAGAAATGTTTCTTTTGAAGCTGGGCATGGTGGTGCATTCCCGACTCAATGCTGTTCTTTGCTCTCCCTCTGCAGCGCAATCCTCTCTGACCCCCACTCCCTGTCCGAGCCCAGGTGGAGATGGGGAACACCTCCGGCCCCCACCAGGCCCCTCCCCCACAGCACCCCAACCACAGGCCTGTTTCCACCCTTTGCTCCCCGCCCCCTCGATGCCCTTCTCTGAGCCAACTTCACATTCACCTGGAAGATCCTACAGTGGGGCTGGCAGGTCTCCCGGGTAAGGGCACAGAGCTGGGTTCCAGTCTGGGTGTCGGTGGAGGGTCTGCTGCCGGGCCCAGCAGGGAGCCCTAGGCACACGCAGGGCGCCCCTGGCTCTGTCCCTTGGCCCAGTCAGGCTGGTAAGGGGAGGCTCCGGAGCCAGGTAGGGCAGGAGGGACAGCAAGGTGGAAGGGACCACGGTTGCTGTTCATCTGCTTGACACTCACCTCATGCCAGTGATGCCAGGCACAGGCAAGGGATAGATCTGGCTCCTGGCTAGTCCTGCATAGGACAAATAGCAGAAACCAGAGCATGGGGTGGCCAGGGCTGAGGGCAGAAGGAAAGTGAGGGCCTTTGGAGACCCAGGTGAGGCCCCTAGTCCTGCAGGGAAATCAGGAAGGACTTCCTGGAGGAGGTAAGTTCACAATAGTGCATGCAGCTGGGTGTGGTGGTGCATGCCTGTCTTTCCAGAACTTGGGAGGCTGAGGCAGGAGGATCCCTTCGAGTTTGAGGCCAGCCTGGGGTGCATAGTGACATCTTGTGTCAAATAAAATAAAATAAAATAAAAAAATAACAAACCAAAAACGGTAGGTAAAATAAACTTTAATATGACATGGTTTCTCTCATATGAGAAACCCAAAGTATAAACAAATTAAAGAGCAGATTAAAGACAGATAATAGGAAACAGGGAGATAGTTTTTTTGCAAAAGTGAAGAGGACCAAGAGGTGAAGGGAGAGGAACCATGCTATGTCATGCACCAAATCCACATGAGGAATGTGAAGATAATAAAAAAAAATAAAAATCATAAGCAGGGCCAAAGCACATGGCACAGCTCCGAGACACCTAAGCTGCTGCTCCGAGCACACCTTGACATACTTTTGGCACTTGGACTCCACTTCTTTTTTAGTTACTTAAGTTTAATTTCTTGTTGAGACACTATGTAGCCCAGCCTGGCCTTGAGCCCAGCGATCCTCCTGCCTCAGCCTCCCGAGTGCTGGGATCACAGGTGCGCACCACCCCGCCCGGCTAGGACCCTGT